ACGCTACTTAGTGTTGGACCAAACCCTGCCACTTCTGGGGCGGACCGTAAAGGCTCCGTAGTGTCCGTCTATGGCAAAGGGGGCCGCAAGACTTCAGTTGTTTCAAGGAACACGACAGGAAGTAACATGAGCATGAATAGCGCCGGGACACCATTGGGTGCATCGAGGAAAGACTCTGGCCTTTCTAGCAGGCTGACCAATACATTTGCCGGCTCCCTGCGACAACTGATACTTGCGGATAACCAGATTGACGATGATGTGTTCGAGCAAATCAACCTTCTTAGTGAATTGCGAGTTTTGAATTTGTCATACAACGACCTCAGCGATATGCCCCAACGATGTATCAAAAACTGGCCCCAACTCGTTGAATTATACCTATCGGGTAACGACTTGACCAGTTTGCCTGTTGACGATCTGGAAGAATACAGTCTCCTTCAAGTGCTCCACATTAACAACAATAAGTTTACAAACCTTCCGGCGGATATTTCACGGGCAAAGAAACTCGCCGTGCTTGATTGTGGAAACAATTCGTTGAAGTATAACATTTCGAATGTGCCGTATGATTGGAATTGGAATCTTAATCCCAATCTCCGTTACCTTAACTTGTCAGGCAACAAACGTTTAGAAATCAAACAAAATCCCCATGGAACCGCTGCACAGAATCGCGAGCAATACACCGATTTTAGTCGTCTGTTGAACCTCCGCGTCCTTGGGTTGATGGATGTAACCCTTACTCAACCCAGTATACCCGATCAAAGTGAAGATCGTCGTGTTAGGACATCTGGCTCATTAGCAGGACATCTTCCATACGGCATGGCAGATACCATGGGAAGAAATGAGCATCTTTCTACCATTGATCTCGTTGTTCCTCGATTCAATTCGTCGGATACAGAAACCCTGCTCGGTTTGTTCGACGGTCAAGCCCTTTCCAGCGGTGGCTCTAAAATTGCCAAGTACCTGCATGAGAATTTCGGGCATATATTCACGACGGAATTGAAAAATTTAAAGACACGGTTGAAAGAAGGGCCAGCAGATGCCCTACGTCGTGCTTTTCTGTCTCTCAACAAAGATTTAGTCACCATAGCTATTGAGCACACGGAGAAGAGGCCACTGGGCACGCATCGCGGATCCGGAGCCCCAGTGGTCTTAAGCAAGGAAGATCTCAATTCAGGAGGCGTTGCTACTATCGCGTATCTACAATCTCAAGATCTCTATATTGCCAATGTCGGGGATGCACAGGCAATGCTCATTCAGGCGGATGGCTCTCATAAAATCTTAACACGGAAACACGACCCAGCTGAACCTACGGAACGCCAGCGAATCCGAGATGCTGGCGGTTGGGTATCCCGCCAAGGAAAATTGAACGATATTCTCGAAGTTTCTCGTGCCTTTGGCTATGTTGACCTGATGCCATCTGTACAAGCAGCGCCTGATGTTAACCACGTCAAAATCACGCCCCAGGACGAAACGATCGTGATTGCGACCAAGGAGCTATGGGAATATCTTAAACCCGCGCTGATTGTTGATGTGTCACGGTCTGAGCGAGGCGACCTTATGCGAGCTTCACAGAAGCTGCGGGATCTCGCTATGGCTTATGGCTCGACTAGCAAGATTATGGTTATGATGATCAGTGTTGCCGACCTCAAGAGACGGCAAGAGCGGTCCACGCGTCTGCATAGGGGGCAAAGCATGTCCCTGTACCCGTCAGGGGTTCCGGACGAATTTCAATACCCGGCAAAGAGAGGCAAGAAACCAAAAGGCGGAATCCTAGACTCGGATCTACATCGGCTGGAAGCCGAAGTTCCCGCACCGACTGATAAGCCTTCCATCGTTTTCACTGATATCAAGAATTCCACCAATCTATGGGAAATGTATCCTGATGCTATGAGGTCCTCTATCAAACTCCACAACGAGGTCATGCGCCGGCAACTTCGACGAATTGGTGGATACGAAGTCAAAACGGAAGGTGATGCTTTCATGGTATCCTTCCCAACTGCAACATCTGCACTACTTTGGTGTTTCTCCGTTCAAATGGCGCTCCTTGAGGTGAATTGGCCCTCTGAAGTGCTCAATTCAGTATCATGTCAAGAAATTTTCGACAAGGACAACAACCTGATATTTAAGGGTCTTTCTGTCAGAATGGGTATTCATTATGGTGAACCAGTGGCAGAGATCGATCCTGTCACCCGCCGTATGGACTATTTTGGGCCAATGGTCAACAAAGCCTCTCGTATTTCCGCAGTTGCCGACGGAGGTCAGATTGCAGTGTCTGCAGATTTCATCTCTGAGATACAGCGATGTCTCGAGACGTACCAAGAAAACGATCGGGCAGTATCAATGGGGCCAGATGAAGCTGACGCATTCGATGATACAACCACGGCACTAGCTATCCGGAGAGAATTGAAATCGCTTACCTCCCAAGGTTTCGAGGTCAAGGAGATGGGTGAGAGGAAACTAAAGGGCCTCGAAAATCCCGAGTATGTCTATTCTCTCTATCCCCATGCACTCGCTGGCCGAATCGATTACCACATGGTTCCTGCTACAACAACTAGCCCATCCGAGCAGCCTGCACGACTTGTGGCCGGGAGTGAACTGGGTATCGAACCCGATAAAATTTGGTCTCTATGGAAAGTTAGCCTGCGCCTAGAAATGCTTTGTAGCACTTTAGAGGAAATGTCGGGAAGAGGATTGCAGCCTCCTGAGACCGAACTGCTCGAGCGTATGCAACAACGTGGTGGTGAGGTCACAGATCGTTTCCTCTACAATTTCATGGAACACCAAGTGAGCCGCATCGAAGTAAGTTGTTGATTCCTATACTGCCCTGGCCAATTCCTAACAGGCTATCACAGACATGTGTCTCAACCTTAGCTCTGCGACACGCCGCCATGGGTGGCGGTCATATCAAACAGCTAGAAGATCTCCGTGCACCGATGGCAGTCATACTTGGACACGTTACGCAACAAATGGCCGAGCTTGAAAGATACAGGGCCAAGTACGGACCTCTCGAGAGTTCTGAGGACGAGGGTAGTGACACAGAACAAGAATAGGAAGATCTATTCTCACGCTATTTTCCCCCGGGCTCTGGAACACTATACCATGATACACCCCCATGACAACCTCTCCGGTTCAGGGTCCTGGGCCATTAACTAGGCTCTTTTCTGCCTACAGCATTATACTATATCTTTATTCGCCCTGAAATGTGCTATGAAATCATCTCTTAACGACGACCAGGGAATGACTTGTTTTGTTTAAGTTTAAGGAAGGTGGGTTGGTGGGTGGGTGAAACGGCGTTTCCTAGGAACAAGCATATTCAGGATTATCAAAAGGATTCTGTTTTGACAGAGGTGGTCTCCTCTACCCTCCGTTATGCCTTTTCTTGAATTTCTCAATACCCGAGAAGGGCCGGGTTGGCGATAACTTATGGATCGTGGTATTGGATTGATGCGACCGTCGATTACTCTGTAAGATGACCCTGTTTCAGGCGTTGCGGTATTTGAACAGGGCTATATTAAAAGGAGGAGCAATTATGTCCCACAGTGATTGGCGTGGCTAGATGGGCCGGCTTGTCAATAAATGAGTAGAAAAGGATGAATGAACTATTATTAATCGATGCTGATATCATGACCACGCCTGGTTATATTTACCAATTCTCCTTGTTATGAAGGCTTAGCTACATGTCTTACTTATGAGCCTGAACCTGAACCTGAAAACTTGACCACGTCTGGTATGTATTCACCTCCAATCAGCAGCACGTGTATGGGGAAAGTTGTGACATCAGTAGGTGACTTCAACTATTATTAATTCCTGTGTATAATCAGCAGACGAGCAATTTCCCCGCCTGTTATCTACCTCTATCATTTGTATGATGTATTACTATTAGTCTCTTCATAACGTCCTTGTCACATAACACAACAACACCACCCGAATGAACATACTTTATCCTACTGAACCGTCTGCCATGAACATCTTCTTTACTGTGGACCATAGAAATCGATTATATAACACTGCTACCATTGCCGAAGCTTCACGACCTATTTATTGGGTAGAGGGCGGGACTCAACCTATTCCCTCATCTCCTCTCCTTACTAAACCTCCACGATTTTTTCTTACAATCCCGGCAGGTCCCTTGGACGAGCCGCGTGTTATAGGGTCCTTGCACGCGCCCGCATTTGCCGAATCGCTTGTTCGCCTTTAGCATGTCGAAGCACTTCTGCTGGATATGGTCGGTCGACGTAGTTGCTCCGCATTGGCCGCACGCTATATGTTTGCTTTCCGAGTAGCACATTGTCTTTCGGTCTTTCCGCGGGGAGGTCTTGCTCTTCCTATTCGCTATTGTTTTTTTTTCCGGCTTATTTACTACTATTGTGTATTTTGGGAGGGCTGAGTCTGGATTGACGGGGGAAAACTCGTGGAATAGGCCATTGCTGAAAATATTCACTCTTCTATTTTATGTTTCAGTCTACGACTCCTTTGTTAGCAGAGTTGCCTCTCGCAAGGTATTCAACCAAAGGGATCAAAGAATAAGGTATTATTTACTTTAACAAAAGGGGGCAACAATTGTTACAAGGTCACACCTCAATACTCATGGCATTCGGTCCTAATTGTCCCACTTGTCAGGCGACATGTTGCTTGGTAAAATGCGAAAGGGGCAAACTTCACGCTCTAATGACGATGAGATTGCTTGCTAATTAGATGTCTATATTTAGCAAGAGAGAGTAGCAAAAAGCTGTAGGTGGGAAAAAGAGCCCAGCGTGAACGCCCCCTAGTATCCAACATCAAACAGGGAGCAACACAGCCCATATCGAGCAAAAGTAATTCTACATCAAAAACATTAATTAAACACAAGTTCTAAATAGCTTAATCTAAGGAAGTATTACTTAATTTATTATTGCAATATAAATAATATCAACAGAAAAGCATGTGTACAAATATTGTGTAGGAAGGTGCAGGCTTGTAGAAAACACCGAAAAAGGACAAAAAAAACCAAAAAAAAGGATGAGTGCACCAGCCGGGATTTGCACCCGGGTCCTTTCCTTGGGAGGGAAATGAGTTAACTACTACTCTACTGGTGCTTGTTTTGTTGTTAATGTTCCTGTCGGTATTGTTACTTATCGTTACTGCTGTCGCCCATGCCTTGCTTCGTGGGTAGGGCGCGTCGCGTTACCTTGCCTTAGGTACGTAGAAGAGGTACTTTTGTACTACCTACCTACCTATTACCTACCTGCTTAGCTAATTCCTCCTATTCACTCGATTGGTTACACGCTATGTCTTGGTCTGTGGTAGGTGAACATGCAGACAGACGTTCACATAAACCTAGACTATGGGAAGCTGTTGTGAGACGGCTCCCTCATCTTTCTTCAGCTCACTATCATCTACTTTGTGGGAGATAGTTCACAGCATACACACAGCTATGATCGCTTACAACAGCCTAGTTTTTAGGTATTAACTCTCTAGGGAAATACATGATGAATACTAGTAGGTTGGGATTTGTGGGTTTGGTTACCCAAGTCTCTGTGTTTATACATTGAGTTACACAGTAGACAAGAAGCCTACTGTTCTCTCTTGGTTTTGCCAGACGGATGGCCGTGGAACAATCACAACATGTGCTGCTATCAAAGGACATCAAGTGTGTGCTGGCACTTCCTGTGCGGTTGCCTGCGTCTAGAAGGCTATCTACTTGCTGAGATGACGTACGATGACAAACAACTATGCATTAGCTACGGATAAGGAAATATCTCGATATAGTATATATAGAGATATATAGATATATATGTAGATAAAATGGCTAGCTGGTACGCATTGTATCATGTCAAACAGCCAGAAGAGAAATATATTAAGCAAGTAGGGATAGTCGAGGTTGTCTATTTCAATACTCTGAACTATTGACGTCTAAGGGGTAGAGCTCGCTCACTGTACAACGAGATATTGTAGTCCGCTTTGTCTTTCTCTGGGCGGGCAGTTCCAGCACACCCACCGTCGGCACATCTTCCTCCTCCCCTTCCTCACTCTTCTTCCTACACAGCAGAAACACACACATACACTTCTAGTACATCAAAAGCGCCAATACGAAACTCTATACAATCGACCGTGCCCGAATCTCGGTCATCCATGTCGCTGCAATGGGAAACCCGCCCCTCTTCAGCAAACGGCCGTTATTGCATCGAATAGAGCCCTGACCACGCAGCCTAATAATAGTATGTCGCAATTATATGTCCAAAGGGTATATATGCATGCAATCCAGTCCGAAATAACACAATACACGCTAAGAAAAACATGTCGCCTTCACCCATTACAGACAACCAAGAGACTGCGCTGGGGGCTTCTTATGATCCTGTCAGTTTCTTCCACCAGCTGCTTCGAGGCGTCGCATCCATGAACAGCTGTTCCCGCTGCGCCTTTTCTCCGCTACCATCTGACCCACCTACCCGGCGGTCTCGGCGCTCGCGCTCTTCGCGCCGTGCACGTCTTCGTCTCTGGTCATCTTCGTACTCGCGGTTCGTCTCGTCATATCTCTCCCTCTCCCGCCGACGAGCAGCTCGCCGGGCAGCACGTCGAGCTTCCTCGTCATCCGTCACTGGGGGCGCATCTGTTGTCAACCCATCCTCCGGGGGTGGACCTGCGTCTGAATGCTCCTTCACCCACGAACTCGTACCCGAATGTGGCCAAGTTGGAGTCCTTTTCTTGGCATGTTCGTCATCTGTGTGCCTTGAAGACCTTTCCCGGGGATACACATAATTATCTGTTGGCACAGGCCGGCTGCGATTTGCCTTCTCAGCCCGCCTGGCCTCGCGTCTTCGTCGACGCTCCTCCTCGTCTTCAGATCCTTCGGCGTGTCGCATGCGTCGTCGGTCAGCCCGGGCAGCCCGACGAGCTTCTGCCTCCGCTTCCTCCGCAGCAGCTTCCTTTTCGAGGCGGCGGCGGCGGCGGCGTTCTGCTCTCTCGGCCTCCCTCGCTTCTGCTTCTTCATTTGCGAGCCTCTGGGCTTCCCGCTCTCGTGCAGCCCTTCGTTCCGCTCGCCGGGCCTCCCGATCTTCTTGCCTACGTGCGTCTTCTTCCTCCTCCTCCTGACGTCGACGTCTCTCACGACGTGCGTCTTTGGTGCGGCGAGCCTCTTCAGCCTTTTCTTGTTCTCTCCCTGCTCGCCGAGCGGCGCGCCGGGCTTCGCGATCAGCGTCCATTTCCGGTACTGCGTTAGACATTCCCCGTGTGCGTCTGGCTCGCTTATCCGGCCTTCCCTCGTCATCGGTCGCATGATAAGTACTTCGACGACGGGGTTCCGGGCGGGGTTCTGGACGAGGATTCGAGGACATGAGACCGCCGAAAAGGCCAGAGATACCCTTCTTGGCACTCGAATTTGACCGCCTGAAGGGTGGCATGTCAACAGGGCCTCCCGCATCGACCATAATGATGTCATCGCGTGGTTTTGTCTATTTTGAGGTTAGTGATACTAGGGGCCTGAGCAGTATGGGTGCCTTTCTTACCTTTGATCGCTTGCGCGCCGACTTATCAGGGCTTGACACAAAATCTCGAGTTCCAACCATAACGATGTCGTCGTCCTCAACGACAGCACGAGTTCTCGACGTTCTCCGACTGCGGCTCTTGTCTACTTCTGGAAGTCGTGATGCCCTGAAGTTCATCTCAGGCATTTCCTCGGGCGGGGGTGATACAAGCCCGCCGCTCATATCCACAGAGTAGCGTCTTGAGCTGGCTTTGAGCCCTTGCTTATCGCGTGTTGACATAGAGCGTGAGAGAGGCGGTGTACTTTGGAAAAGACTATTCATGCGCGACTTAGAACTTGGCACAGTTTTCTGTTCTTGTCGCTCTGCTTTATCCGAACCCGAACTCTTATAAGACACTTTCTCTTCTCTCTCCTTCCTCGGTTTTTTGGCGTCGGACCTAGATTTCGATGGCTTCTTTTCTTCCCTGTGTGGTGTGGCTGAAGCTGAAGCTGACCACATACCCCATGATGCGCTACCATCACGACTGATCTTAGTTCGTTCCCTCTTTGGAGATTTGGGCTCGCTAGGGGGTGATGGAGGTGTGGGGGGAACTTCGGGTACTGCAGGCGGCGGAGGAGGCACAGCAGGAGGCACGGGCGGATGGGAAGTGTCCCTAGATTTGTTCTTCTTGCTCTTCTTCGGCTTCTTCTGTACCGGTGGTGCAAGGTCAATTATTTCGACAATTTCATCGTCAGCTTCACCATCGTCTTCGTCTTTTGGTAGGCTTCTCGATTCCTCTTCCGCGGGTGCCGCTTCTGGGATTTCAGCAACTTCATCCCCGCCTAAGGTGTTATCGTCATCGTCCCCATTAGGAATTTCGTCGTTAGCTTCTTCACCCTGAAAATCATCATGCACTTCGAATTCGTGAACTGCATAATCATCAACTTCATTTTCATCATCTTCATCTCCATGATCTTCGTCTTCATGATCTTCGTCAGCCATTGGAAAACTACCAGGAAGTATACCCTTGTCTCTCTGGGATGCCTTAGGCTGAGGAGGAGGAGGTGGTGGTGCAGGCGCTTCAGGAAACACGTCGATCAGGTCGTCGTCGATATCATCTTGTGGCGCCGGCTCAAACTTCTTAAGCTTATCAGCGAGCTTGTTTCCTTTGGCTGTCCTCTTCGACATTGACATCCAATCATTATTGAGGGCCTTCGAAAAGCCAGAAAAAAGTGACCCCCCTTCACCTGGAGTGGCATGTTGTTCCAAAATCTGGGTTGACTTAGCAATTGTCATCTCTGTTGCTGCCGGATGCTGGGGTTGAGAGGTACTTACTGCGCCTGGAAGGGTCTTAGCGCCCCAGAATGCAAAAGGATCCGGGCCTTTGGGCTTCCTTGGTGGCGGTAGGTCTGAAAGGATCTCATCAGCCTGTTCAGCTGTCAAATCTACATCGTCTATATCGAAGAGGTCGTCGTCGTCGTCCTTCCCTTCCTTACTGCTGAATTTTGACTTGTTCTCTGTGAAATAGTTGTCACCGTTGTTGTCGTCGTCCTGGTTCTCCTTGGTACTAGATTTCAACTTCTTGTCCTCCATAAAGTAATCGTCGACGTCATCCCCATTATCCTTCTTCTTCTCCTTGCTCCTAGATTTCGACTTCTTGTCCTCCGTGAAGTAGTCGTCATCCTCGTCCTTCTTCTTTTTTTCTTTGCTGCTTGATTTTAACTTCTTGTCTTCTGTGAAGTAGTCGTCGTCGTCGTCCTTCTTCTTCTTCTCTTTGCTGCTAGACTTCAACTTCTTGTCTTCTGCAAAATCGTCATCCTCGTCCTTCTTCTTCTCCTTGCTACTGGATTTCGATTTCTTGTCCTCTGATTTGGAACTCTTCTTGGATTTCTTCTTAGAAGCGGCCGCAGCTTCAGCCTCTTGTCGTTCACGCTCAGCTTGTTCCTCAGCCTCTCGTGCAGCTTGGGCGGCCTCTTCTGCTTCACGGGCAGCTTGTTCTTCTGCTTCGCGCGCTGCCTGCTCCTCAGCTTCTCGTGCAGCGGCTTCTTCAGCCTCTCGTGCGGCCTGTTCTTCTGCTTCAGCCGCAGCCTGTGCAGCGTTCTCATCGGCTTCTACAGTAATGTTAGTAGCAGAACGAGAGTTGATCTTCTCAGTAAGTTCGTCCAGTCGCTCTTGATCTTTTTTGCTAAACTTCTTCTTTCTCTTTTCTGCTTTAATTTTTAAGAGCTCGAGCTCTTCTTCCTCCGCAGCTTCCTCCGCTTGGCGTGCAGCTTGTTCTTCGGCCTCACGAGTTTCCTGCTCTTCAGCCTCGCGAGCTGCCTGTTCCTCAGCTTCGCGAGCGGCCAAGTCTGCAGCCTCACGAGCAGCCTGTTCTTCTGCTTCGCGTGCCGCTAACTCTTCAGCCTCGCGTGCAGCCTGTTCATCGGCCGCAGCTTCTACTGTTGCCTCATCAACACCTGCAGCACTTGCACGGGCGTTGATCTTTTCTGTAAGCTCATCGAAGCGCTTTTGATCCTTTCTAACCAACTTTTTCCTTTTGGCTTTGGCTTTTAGCGCTTCAAGTTCTGATTCGTCTGCTTCTGCTTCTTTCGCCTCGCGAGCAGCCAGTTCTTCAGCCTCACGAGCGGCTTGTT